TTTGATTCTGACCCGTTCAGAGAATCACAGACAGTTGGGTTTGATTCTGACCCGTTCAGAGAATCACAGACAGTTGGGTTTGATTCTGACCCGTTCAGAGAATCACAGACAGTTGGGTTTGATTCTGACCCGTTTGTAGAATCACAGACAGATGGGTTTGATTCTGATCTGTTCAGAGAATCACAGACAGTTGGGTTTGATTCTGACCCAGTTAAAGCTGGGGTAAGTGGGTTAGAATTGGACCCATCAGCTAAAGCTCTAGGTTCTGATGACGGTGTTCTCAGATCTCCTGGGAGAAGGAAATGTGGGTGGGATTCAGACCCGTTTGCTGACAGGTACCCAGCAACCCTTCCAGGGACTGAAGGTCCAGAATCCTGTTCATTCAGTACTTCGGGCACTCAGCTAAAGCCCACCTGTGGATCTGCAACAGAAGGAAATAAAGAAGTTCCCATGGCCAGAAACCACAAAGAACCTGAAAAATCAGACGTGTCTGAAGACGAAGCTGCAAACCAGAGATATGGAAGGTTGTACCAAGAACTAGATACAGGAAAGGAAGAGGTACTACCCTTTCCTCTTCTCCAATATAATAGATTAGCATAGAGTAGATCAGAGGCCAAATAGAAAAATCTATTCCCATATTTTACCCTCATACAGACTAGGAAACAAAATTAATATTCCTAAACCCTGAATCCCAGCCTGAGCTCCTCCTTCCTCATTTGTCCTTTTTTTTACCAGATGTTAGGAGTTTAACAGAAAATACTGGTACTTCTTTTCTAGTTCTTGAAACTTTGAACCCCTCATCCAAAAGCAAGTGTGGCTGGTCCTTAGGGTTATGTGATGGCACTGCCCCAAACCTATTCATATGTTTCTTCCGACAAATAATGCAAATTGCTTATTTACTTAACTTGTTGTTTTGTTTAGTTTTTTTAATTATTTAGATTATTTTAAATGGAATTGAAAGTGTTTTTATTGATTGTCATTTTTACTTTACAGCTACGAGGCAGTAGAGACCACCACCTTGTTTGTCAGTGGATTTATCATATTAATACTTTTCCTGTCTGCAAATATCAGCTGGCAGTTCTTTCATTATCTTGTTAGGGGATGTCCATCCATCCATCCATTTTCTGCCGCTTATCCGGGATCGGGTCACGGGGGCACCAGCCTAAGCAGAGAGACCCAGACTTCCCTTTCCCCAGCCACATGGACCAGCTCGTCCAGGGGAATCCCAAGGTGTTCCCTGGCCAGTCGAGAAACAGTCCCTCCAGTGTGTCCTGGGTCTTCCTCTGGGTCTCCTCCTAGTGGGACATGCCTGGAAAACCTCACCAGGGAGGCGTCCAGGAGGCATCCTAACCAGATGAACCACCTCAACTGGCTCCTCTGGACGTGGAGGAGCAGCGGCTCTACTCTGAGTCCCTCCTGGATGACTGAGCTTCTCAGCCTATCTCTAAGGGAGAGCCCAGACACCCTGCAGAGGAAACTCATTTCAGCTGATTGTATCTGTGATCTCCTTCTTTCAGTCACTACCCAAAGCTCCTGACCATAGATGAGGGTAGGAACGTAGACCGACTAGTAAACAGAGAGCTTCACCTTCTGGCTCAGCTCTCTTCACCACGACAGACTGGTACAACACCCACATTACTGCAGATGCAGCACCAATCCACCTGTCAATCTCCTGCTCCATTCTTCCCTCATTCATGAACAAGACCCCGAGATACTTAAACTCCTCCACTTGGTGCAGGACCTCCTCCCCGACCCGGAGGTGGCACACTACCGGTTTCCGGCTTAAGACCATGGTCTCGGATTTGGAGGCACTGATCCCCATCCCGGCTGCTTCACACTCGGCTGCGAACTGCTCCAGTGAGAGCTGGAGATCACAATCTGATGAAGCCAATAGGACCACATCACCCTCAAAAAGCAGAGATGTGATCCTAAGGTCACCTAAAAGGATCCCATCAACACCTTGGTTGTTCCTAGAAATTCTGTCCATAAAAGTTATGAACAGAATCTGTGACAAAGAGCAACCTTGGCAGAGTCAACTGTCACCGGAAACGAGTCCGACTTACTACTGGCAATGTGGACCAAGCTCTGGCACCAGTCATACAGGGACCTAACAGCTCGTATCAACGGGCCTGGTACCCCATACTTCTTGAGTACCCTCCACAGGAGTCCTTGAGGGACGCGGTCGAATGCCTTCTCCAAGTCCACAAAACACATGTAGACTGGTTGGGCGAACTCCCATGCACCCTCCAGGACCCTGCTGAGGGTGTAGAGCTGGTCCACTGTTCCACGACCAGGACCAAAACCACACTGCTCTTCCTGAATCTGAGATTTGACTATCTGACGGACCTTCCTCTCAGAACCCCCGAATAGACCTTACCAGGGAGGCTCAGAAGTGTGATCCCCCTATAGTTGGAACACACTCTGCGGTCCCCCTTTTTCAATAGGGGGATCACCACCCCTGTCTGTCAATCCAGAGGAACTGCCCCTGATGTCCACATGATATTGTAGAGTCGTGTCAACCAGTGCAACCCCACAACATCCAGAGCCTTAAGGAACTCTGGGCGAATCTCATCCACCCCCGGCGCCCTGCCACAGAGGAGCTTTTTAACCACCTCGGTGACCTCAGCACCAGAGATTGGAGAGTCCGACCCAGGGTCCTCAGGCTCTGCTTCCTCATGGGAAGACATGTCGGTAGGATTGAGGAGGTCCTCGAAGTATTCCGCCCACTGACCCTCAACATCCCGAGCTGAGGTCAGCAGCACACCATCCCCACCATAAACAGTGCTGGTGGCGAACTGCTTTCCCACTCTGAGATGTCGGATAGTGGACCAGAATTGCCTCAAAGCCATACGGAAGTCGTTTTCCATGGCCTTTCCGAACTCCTCCCTCGCCCGAGTTTTTGCCTCAGCGACCACCCGAGCCGCAGTCCGCTTGGACTGCTGATAACTATCGGCTGCTTCCTGAGTCCCACAGGCCACAAAGACGTGATAGGACGCCTTCTTCAGCCTGACAGCATCCCTCCACCAGCGGGTTCGAGGGTTGCCGCCACGACAGGCACTGACAGTCTTATGGCCATAGCTCAGGTAAGCCGCCTCGACAATGGAGGCATGGAACATGGCCCACTCAGACTCAATGTCCCCCAACTCCCCCGGAACATGTTCAAAGTTCCTCGGAGGTGTGAGTTGAAGCTTCGCCTGACGGGAGACTCTGACAGACGTTCGCAGCAGACCCTCACTATACGTTTGGGTCTGCCAGGTCTGACCGGCATCCTCCCCCACCAACGGAGCCAACTCACCACCAGGTAGTGGTCAGTTGACAGCTCTGCCCCTCTCTTCACCCGAGTGTCCAAAACATGCAGCTGCAGATCAGATGAAACAACAACAAAGTCGATCATCGAACTGCAGCCTAGTTTGTCCTGGTGCCAAGAGCACATATGGACACGCTTATGCTTGAACATGGTGTTTGTTATGGACAATCCATGACAAGCACAGAAGTCCAATAACAAAACACTGCTCGGGTTCAGGTCAGGGGGGCTGTTTCGCCCAACCATGCCTCTCCAGGTCTCACTGTCATTACCCACGTGAGTGTTGAAGTCCCCCAGCAAAACGAGGGAGTCCCCATTAGGAGCGCTCTCCAGTACCCATCTAAGGACTCCAGAAAGGGTGGGTAATCTGAACTGCTGTTAGGCTTATAGGCGCAAACAACAGTCAGGACCCATCCCCCCACTCATAGGTGGAGGGAGGCTACCCTCTCGTTCACCGGGGTGAACCCCAACGTACAGGCACCGAGATGGGGGACAATAATGCCCATTCCTGCTCAGCACCTATCAGCATGGGCAACTCCAGAGTGGAAGAGTGTTCAACCCCTCTGGAGGAGACTGGTTCCAGAGCCAGAGTGGTGTGTTGAGGTGAGTCCAACTATATCTAGTCATAACCTCTCAACCTCACACACCAGCTCAGGCTCCTTCCCTACCAGAGAGGTGACATTTCACATCCCTAGAGCCAGCTTCTGTAGCTGAGGATTGGACCACCAAGGTCCTCGCCTTTGACTTCTGCCCAACACACAATGCACCCGACCCCCCATTGCCCCTCCCACAGGTGGTGAGCCCATGGTAAGGGGGACCCACATCTCCTCTTCGGACTGTGCCCGACTGGGCTCCATGGGTGAAAGCCCGGCCACCAGGCGCTCGCCAATGTGCCCCACCTCCAAGCCTGGCTCCAGAGTGGTGCCCCAGTGCGAGGGAACACTGACTCCATTAATGGTACTTATCATAGGGGTCTTCGGGCTGCACTTTGTCTGATCCCTCACCTAGGACCTGTTTGCCTTGGGTGACCCTACTGGGGGCATGAAGCCCCTGACAACATAGCTCCAAGGATCATTGGGACACTCAAACCTCTCCACCACAATAAGGTGGCAGCCCAAGGAGAGGGTTGGGGGATGTAAACATATTAAATTTAATATAAAATACAGTGAACCAGTTCTTTATCGTTGCAGCATTCCTGAAGTGGTCAGGGAAGATAATCCTCTGTATACAGGGGTTTTGTGGGTCTGGAGAAGGTTTGTGTTCTATGAATCATTATGTAGGGGTCCTGTAGGAGTATGAAGTGCCTGGGTTGCCTTTAGGGTGCACATTTTTTGTAACCAATTCGAGTTGTCTTTTTTGTAAACCTTTCTGTTGAGGCTTTCATCTTTTACTGTGTGCAGCAAACTGTCCTAAAAAGCAGCTTGTTGTTGTTTGTGTTTTTCCTGAGGAACTGGATGTTGAGTTGTCATGTTTTGTGAAAAGCTCTAGTTCTTAGATTTTGACCAGGTATCACCTACAACTAAATGATAAGGATGCTCTTTGAGGACAGTAGTGTTCATGTTTTGAACAAAGAAACTAGAGGTTTTTCAGGAGTGGGGTGGGGTGGAAGGATAAATGACCAACTTTAACATTAAAGAAAATAGGTCATTTCAATTAAATCTTCTCATGTTGGACTAGATGGTCAATGACTCACAGGGGACAGGAAACCAAACCACCACATGATGGGTGATTGGTTTATTCAACTCAGACAAGCCCTTCATTGGGACTGTCCCAACAAGAACTTTAAGACCTACAACTGCCAACCCTGAATCAGAACTGAAGAACTATTTTAAATGAGGGCTGAAGCATCTCTGAGAAGTGAAAAGTGGTCCAGTGGTCTTCTGTTAATTTTTTTGTTCTGTCCCAGATCAGTTGACACCCACTGTTCCCTAACATCCTCTGCTCACACTCATATTACTCTAGTTCACCCATTTCCCATTAAAAACATGTTTTCAATCCATCAAACTCATAGGTCACATAGGCTTCAGTTAATTTTTCTGTCTCTGAGTTTTACTTCACTGTATTTTATAGATTTACACATAGTTTAAAAAAAGAGTAAATGATGTGACGCAAGCAGTTTTTATGTATTGATGGCATTAAAATATAGATTTTTTTTAGTCTGCAGCACAGTGGCTCAGTTTTTAGAGCTGTTGCCTCTCAGCAAGAAGGTTGCCAGATTGAATCCTGGCAGAGAACCTTTCTGGTAGAGTTTGCATGTYCTCTCCATGCATGCATGGGTTTTCTCAGAATACTCTGCGTCATACACACCAAAACATGACTGTTAGGCTAATTGGTAACTCTAAATTGTCCCTAGGTTTGAGAGAGTGAGTGAATGGTTGGCTGTGTCCAAAACGGCAGGCCGGGTCCTCCGAAGGTCGAATTTGTCGGCCGCATACGTCAGCGCCGTGACGAAGGACGTCCAAAACCGAAGACTCCTCCGATGCGTCCGACAAATACGTCCTTCCTTTGGCCCGAATCAAAGGACAGGTCTGATGGATCCTTCCCGGCCCAGCATATCCCATAATGCATTGCGACCCAACCGGAGATTTTTTTATGCTAGTAATGGTGGACAAAGCGAGAGAAAAGAATACGTTTTAAATAAAAAAATATGGTGATATAAAAATAAAAAATAATTAGCGGTTGTAATTCTAATACTTTTATCGTTTGTATGGACGTTTTTAAATATTATTTTT